CTTCCTCTGCGCTCATGAATTCTCCTGCTGTCCTACATGAATCCAGATTCATGTATGTACAGGCCGTAGTATAGTAACAGTGCAGTACAAGAAAACCCAGAAACGAATGACTTAGTAGAAGAACACATAGAAACTAGTAAATGAAAGGATAAATGTCCTGGACCACACCAATTTCCCCTTCATTGTCAATAGAAGACTACAGATCTCTCCTACATGTAATGGTAGCTACGTGCTCGCAAACATCTATCAATATAGCCACCTATCTCTATAGTGAAGCACGGAATGCCATAAATCAGCGATTTTATAAACCAAAAGGTATTAACAGATGGCTCATTATAGAACTACAGCTACATCAGATCCATGAAGCTGTCCGGAAAGAATTGCATAAGACAGGGATGATGGTGAACCCCCCATCTGGATATATCCAGGGTAATGGGAACAATGTAGTCAATCCCGAATCTGCATACATCCAGGGCAATGGTAAAGCAAGCTACCAGATAAGCCACTGACCAAGATAGACATACTTTAACTAGTATGATCATAGGCTCTTCAGATAGTAGTGAACCACCTTACTTACACCCTCTACTACTAGACAATCTACTCAAAGTACATTCATTTACCTCTGTATGACTCATATAGCAACATACTAAACATTACACCCTTTTCTACGGTTTCTTGAATATCACTAGAACTACCCGGGCAAACTCTTCCGAAACTATCTCAGTAGAAAAAGGACACTCTCAGCTACACACCACTATTTTTTTCTTATTTTTCCTACCGTTCCTAGTCTCAGGAGACATGTGATCGGGTAGACACCCTCAAAAACCCATTACATTGCCTAATCAAATCTGTTTTAGATTATTATTACATGTTCCTGTGCTACGATTTTCTCACACTCTAAACGAACATTCTAGCGCTTGTTCCCACGATTCCATAACTAGTCTTATCTCGGCAAAATACCCATTTCTGGCTAAGCTATGACCTGTTTAAGAATTCGTTATCAGGCTTCTTGAAGAATGGAACCAACCAATCAGGTTCTTCTTACCATCATCAACTATCTCACCAAAGACCCATCTAATCAGTCATTCCTCGACAATTAGTCATTAAACACCCCCTGTCAGGACGTTGAGATGCCACAAACCCCCTGCCATCTTTTGTTTCTGATGGAAACATACCCGTTCCTGGAGAACAATGAGATTCATTTAAGCAGAACAAGGAGGCTGTTCTAAGGGGAACAATAGAATTCATTTCTGTGAGATTGAGGTACACCAACCTGTGCAGAACCATGGGATTCCCCCCTGAAAAGAACAAGGCAACCCAATTCGGGAGAACAATGGAGTTCATTTCAACAGAGAGAACAAGGGAGACTAATCTAGAGAACAATGGTTGCCATCATGGACCCCTTCATTTCATTTGGAGAACAATAGCCATCAGAGAGAGATTAAGGAA